TGGTTCAGCATGGGACACCAATGTTCGTCCCATGCTCGATTTAACACTCGGTCAATCTTCGTGAGTGGAGCTTCAACATCCAGTCTTTATTCAAGCTTGAATCAATCTTGATAGTTTATTTATTACCGTGTGCACTTATAACAATATTAGATATAAATATTTATAAATTATTTAATATTAAAATATTATTAGTGATATTTTTTAGTAATTTTTTATACTATTTAAAAATTATTATTCTTATTATTAATTATTATTCATTATTATTAAATAATATAATAAGTATTATTATTATTATTGTTATTAAGATATAAATTGGTAAATAAATATTAATATTTATTTAGTGTATAATATTTATATTAATTATATAAGATTCATATAAATAAAATTAAATTATATATTATTTTTTTTCTTGCAATGTCAAATTATTATTTTCAAAGTTCAAGAGTTTCGTTTATCTGAAAAATTTTCAGTGAAAAAAATGTTCATTAGGTAGTAATAAATATTTATGCCTAGTAGTTTTACACTAGGTTTAACTGTTTACTGAATATTATCAAAAATATATTTCTCGTCAAACGCGCGCGACTAAACACAAATAACCTTGAGATTTTACAGCGCGACGTTGCGATTGTCGTGCTCCCACCATCCCATCTACTCAATGCTTTCCCCTCATGACATCACAGGCGGGGAGTGCATTGAGTAGATGGGATGGTGGGAGCACGACAATCGCAACGTCTCAAGGTTATTTTTGTGTTTAGTCGCGCGCGTTTGACGAAAAATATATTTTTGATAATATTCAGTAAACAGTTAATCCTAGTGTAAAACTACTAGGCATAAATATTTATTACTACCTAATGAACATTTTTTTCACTGAAAATTTTTCAGATAAACGAAACTCTTGAATTTGAAAATAATAATTTGACACTGTGCGAGAAAAAAATAATATATAATTTAACTTATAAAATTATCAGAAAAAATATTTTAATATTAAATAATTTTTAAATATTTATAGATAATATTGTACAGTGCACACGGCAATAAAGGAACTGAATATTGTAACAAGATTGACCGAGTCTTGAATCGAGCATGGGACGAACATTGGTGTCCCATACTGAGTGACGGCACTGGCATTGATATAGTAGATTAGGCGAGAAGCCTTCCAGCCTTCTGTGGCCGAGCGGTTTAAATGCGTGCGTTGAGAACTTCCGGTATGCGTTAGGGGCGGGGTGCGTGAGTTTCGATCCCACATGCGAGCGAATATTTTTCATTCTTTGTTATAAGCGTTTATATAAAATAATAAAATTGTGTGTTGTGTTGTGAATAAAAAATGTGAACATGTTTATAAATAATGTTAAAAGTCTGTTAAAAATCAAGAAAAAAATGTAACGATTAACAGAAAAATTGTCTTTTTTTACTAAAATTATTTTTTTAAAATTACTATTCAAATGATATTTATTGTTAGTAATATATTCTTATTTATATGAAGATAATATAATTATTACAAATAATAACTTATTGTCATTAAATACCCAACGGGAAGTTGCCAATGTTAACGATTGGTTCAATAATGGGCCATGCTTGGTACCCAATGGTTTTTTCTTGGCAAAACAATTGGCAACCATCATTGGACCACCAATGGTTTAAACTTGGGATGATCACGCTACTGCCAATGATCGGTAGCCAAGCATCGGGCCAATATTAGTTGCCAAGGAATTGCCAAGGAAACAAAATCGATTTTCAAAAGCTTGATTTTTTATTGGCAGCCAACAAAAAACAAAGGTTTTGAAAATTGATTTTTTTAAATTATTAATTAAAATTTATTTTTAAAAAATATATTTTTCAAAAATTTATTTTAAAAAAATATATTTTTTAAAAATATATATTTTTTTAAATTAATAGAACATATTAATTTAATTTGTCACCTCTGGTAAAACAAAGATGAAAGACTGATAAATTCCCTCACTTTATATTTTACAGTGGAGGGATGACTGTGAATGTCTTTGCGAGAGAGGAGCAGGTACTTATATAGAGCCAGTGAGAAAGGTCACAAGCGAGAAAAAATCACTAGCATGCACTCTGGCGGCGCTTGTCGGAACTGTTTTCTGGCGCGCATGCATATCCTGACGTTATCGACACAGCGCTTGGCAACCAACGTTGCGCCACTTCCGACAAGCGCCGCCAGAGTGCATGCTAGTGATTTTTTCTCGCTTGTGACCTGTTTCACTGGCTCTATATAAGTACCTGCTCCTCTCTCGCAAAGACATTCACAGTTATCCCTCCACTGTAAGATATAAAGTGAGGGAATTTATCAGTCTTTCATCTTTGTTTTACCAGAGGTGACAAATTAAATTAATATGTTCTATTAATTTAAAAAAATATATATTTTTAAAAAATATGTTTTGTTAAAATAAATTTTTGAAAAATATATTTTTTAAAAATAAATTTTAATTAATAATTAAGAAAAATCAATTTTCAAAACCTTGGTTTTTTGTTGGCTGCCAATAAAAAATCAAGCTTTTGAAAATCGATTTTGTCTCCTTGGCAATTCCTTGGCAACTAATATTGGCCCGATGCTTGGCTACCGATCATTGGCAGTAGCGTGATCATCCCAAGTTTAAACCATTGGTGGTCCAATGATGGTTGCCATTAATGTTCCAATAATGGAACGGAGTTCGCCAAGCATGGCCCATTATTGAACCAATCGTTTACTTCCCATTGGGTATATATGTATATATACGCACATGAATTAAAATAATAACAATAATATTTATTATTATTATTAATAATTCATATATTCACATTATATTGAATAAACTTGAGAAACGAGTAAATTTGGGAACAGTGGAAGCAGTCTTGTTTCAGTCCTGCATTAGGCGTCCGCAGCATTGATTGAGCATTGGTGCCAATGCTGAACCAAGGCTCGCGCTGCAGTCTGGAATCGGTGTTACATTAAAGCTTCGATCATTCCTGCTCTCGCTGATTCACTCATGCTCAATCAATGTTGACCAATGCTCGGCCAATCTTTATAAAGCCTGAACTCGGCGTCACTTCGCGCCTGGGAAGTGTTGTTAGTATTAATATTCCCATATAATAGTGTTTACTATTAATATTAGGTAATATCCCTTTAATAATTAAAACTATTGATATTTCCCTAAAATTAAGTATAACAATAATTTCAATATACACTGTATATTGAGTATTATTAACATTCCTTCAATTTTAATAAGTTCTATTAATATTAATAATATTAGTAATATCAATAAATTAATAGAATATTCCCCTAATATTACGTATTACTACTAATATTTTAATATTAAGCATGCTATTAGTATTGTTATTCTAATAATAGTATTTATAATTAATAATATTCTCCTAATATTCATATCAGTATACTACTAATAGTATTTCCCTAATATTGTATATTTAACATTTTAATATACACTTAGTATTCAATACTATTAATATTCCTCTAATGTTGAGAACTATTATTACTAATATAAATATTCCCTTAATATTATTCTAATAATATTAATACACTCTTAGTATTAATAAGTGCTATTAATATTAATATACGCCTGATATTATTATCCCCTTAATAATAAATAGTTGCAATGATATTTTCCTAATATTAAGTACTATTAATTTTAATATACACTGAATATTAAGTATTATTAATATTAACATTCCCCTAGTTTTTAATATTAATACAATTAATATTTTTTTAAATATTTAGTATGTTAATATAACTTTAGTATTAAGTACTATTGATATTAATATATATATTAATATGCACTTCATATACTTATATTATTACTAATATATTAACACTACTGTTAAGGGGGTATTACTATTTGTCCTTTTTAATATTAGGCTAATAATAATATACACATATTAATATACACTTGATTAATATGAAATACTGTTATTAATACTTCAATATTAAGATGCTATTATTTTTAATATAGCTTTAAAATTAAGTATTATTAGTATTAGTATTCCCATAATGGTATTTAATATTAATATTCTCATATAGTATTCAGTAGGAAGTAGGACTATTAATTATATTATAGTATTCAATATTAGTTCTATACTATTAATTTTAATATCACAGGAAAAAAAAAGTGTTACTTTAACACTAAAAGTAGTGTTAAAACAACACGCAACATTTTTAACCGATACTGCGTGATTTTAACACTTCATTGGTGTTAAAATAGCCCTAAAGTAATTTTTTTTAAGTTAGAGGCGTATTTTGAATATTGAGTTGGGTGTCCAGACACCTCATAGTTACTCCTTCTAGGGTTAATAAGCAGTACCATTGATATTCTTCTAATATTAAGTCCTATTATTTTAATATACTCTAAAATTAAGTATTATTATTCTTGCTATTCGGTCAAAAATGGGTTTTAATAATTTTAAATTTAAATATTTTTTACCCTGTTTCGTTAAATTTAAATTTTTTATTATATTTTTTATTTTTTCATCACCCTTATTTTTATTTATTTTATTAATTTAAATTTAACGAAATAGTGTCCAAAAAAAAATATCTTAATTTCTCTACTTTTTTGCAACTTTTTTTTCTCCACGAGCCTTAAGGGCATGTCAAAGTCAATCCATTGGCGGATGAATCGGATGAATAAACAGTGAATATTCAACCCAACCAATCCGCTCTCGCTCAATTCGTGATTTTCCCCACTGCGCATGTTTTCCCTACATTCAAAAAAAAAAAAAGAAAAAACAAACCAAAAATCACTTTTTGAAATTCAAAAAACCCCTTGTGGAATGACAGTGTCCATTTTGGAAAATTCTTTCTTATGGAGACTAAATAAATCATTGAAAGTGTCTTTTAAGTAGTTGCAAGTGTTTTTTTTTGTATTGTTCCGTCTAGAGAGAGAGAGAGAGAGAGAGAGTTGCTACTCTATTTTTCTCTCTCTCTCTCTCCAGACGCCGGCAGGGGGCGCTTCTCACAGGAACGCTGCGCCGCGAGTAGCGTCAGTGTCAATATGGCCGTGGTAGAGTGTGGTCATGCTCACAGCGGTACCTTACGGTAGTTACAACTCTAAAGTGAAAACGATGAAGTGTTATTCTTCAGTGTAAAAATTCTCAAGTGAAGATCAAATTACGTGATCAATTAAATCTGTTTTTTTGAAAATAAAAAATAGTTGGAGAATTTAAAGTAGAGGAGAAAGAAAAAAGAAACAACAGCGATCATGATGAATTCAGTTGAATCTCCCATGGTCCAGTCGGATGCGTGCGCGACAGGTATGTATATATAGAAAATTGTGATTTTTTTTTCATCTTTCCGTTGATACGAATTTTCGTCTCTAGAATGTACTTTTTCAAAAAAAAAAAAAAAATGAAGAAAATTTTCTCTCAATTTTTACTTCTTTATTTTTCTCTTGTTCACGTTTTCGGAGTATTTTATTTATGATTTAGTATGGAACGTGTGTGTCTCGAGGTCTTATTGATTTCTTGGCCTTTTTAAGAGTCCGTCGCGCTTTATGGACGACATTCGAATTCATTACAAATACATGCTCGTAAAGGGAAAATACACAGCCTCCCGAGGCCAAAATGTTTCCTTTTGAGTCGTGTCACTTTTGGCGTGGATCGATAGTCTCAGACTCCCTGAACTTTAGCTATTGCCTGCCTATTCTCTCTCTCTCGATCTCTCTTTTCTCTATTCAAGTTTTTGAGCCTCCGATGTGCACAACTCTCGGCATCCGTTTCCTGCATTGCGTGCGGAAAAATAAAAAGAAATGTCCCATTTTTAAACCCAGGGGGGAGAGAGGCCAAGAGAAGATTTTCCCCTCTTTGTGAAGATTTTCTTCCAAAGAGAGAGAGAGAGAGAGAAGGAATGTGAAAAGATTTTGAAGAAAGAAAAAGGAATTTGCTTTTGTAACAAGTCGAGTGTATTTTTAGAGAGATTTTTGTGTCAATCGGCATTTCACTTTTGCGATGCATAGAAGATTATAATTGAAATCAGTTTGAGGGAGATTTATTTTGGAAATTTAACGATAAGAGGAGGAAAAAAAACATGTGGTCTTTTTTTCTTCTTTTTTTTAAGAAACCAGCGCGTGGGTCTGTTTACAAATTTAAATGATGTTCTCAAGTTTGGGTCTCATGGGTTTTTGGAGTAGATGATAAATTAGGTGAAGAAGCATGCCGGGGTAAAAATAAATTTTCTTTTTGGAGGAGGAAATTGAAAAAGTTTTTGTTTAATTACAACCGGTGATGTTAATTAACAAAGAGCAAAAGAAATCTATTAAAAAAGAGTTTTTAGATGTTCTTCAACTTTCGAACGTTTGAAATTTTTTTACTTCTTTCTTCAAATTTAAAATTTGTTTTTTGTCAATAAAAAATTTCATTTTCTTAAATTACTTAATTTACTCTTAAATTACTTAATTTACTTTTACTCTTTATTTTTAATTACTTAAATTTTTATTATCCCAAAGTTTCCATTTATCAGATGAACGAAATTTGTTTGTTTCTTCTTTAAACTAATTTTTACTCCAATAATTTTGCGACTCTATAAAAAAAATAATAAAGCCTTTAAATCTAAATTTTAAGTTTTAAACTTTTAGTTCAGTCAGTAATTTATAAAAAATAGTTTTATTGAAAAATAGAAAATATTTCGTTCATTTGAACGTTCAAAACTTGTGGATCATAAATTTTTAACTTAAATTCCAGAATAGTATTGTTAATGCAAATAAAATACTAAAAAGTATTTTAAGCTAGAAAATAAAAAAACAATTTAAGAGTAATAATTAGTTTTGATTTCGACTTTAAAAATTGAAAAAAAATCAAAACTAAAAACAAAAATCTATTAAAATCGAATTTTTGGTTGAAGAAAGAAAAATTATTTTGCAATTTTTGTCTGAAGGGAAAGAGATGAAAATTATTTGCTTAGCCTTTTGGTTTCGATGTGAAAATTTACACCTTAAACTTACCTGAAAATTTACGATTCTACCTGTGAAAAACTTCAATGTTACCTGAAGTTGTGAATTTTGGTTGTGGACAAAATTTTTTTATTTCCATTTCTCATCTTATGACCAAAATATGTGTAAATTATTTTTTTAATTTAAGAAATCCAGAAATTTTGCGAAGGAAATATTTTTTATAAAAATATTATCATAATTTAAAGACTAAAAAAATTAAAAAATTAACTTTTACATTTAGAAACTTTACGATCAGAGTTTACAATTAATTTCTTTTTTTTTTGAAAGAGTCGCAAAATTATTGTGCTAAAAATTTAATTTGAAGAAGAAATAAATAAATTTTTTGGAGTAAAATTAAAAATTAAAAGAAGGAGAAAAAATTTTTAATTCTTCCACAAAATCGAATTTCTTCATAGTTAAAAATCAAATTTTGACTAAACTGACAAAATTTTCGTTATAATGTCACAATTTTGATTAAAGATTCAAAAATTTCAGTTGAATTTTGACCAAAATTTTAGATAAAATAGATTTTTTATTTCTTCAACCAAAGAATTTTTGAAAAATTTTGTAAAGTTTCTAAAGTTTATAATGTTTTTTTATTTATTTTCTTTTATAAAAAAAAGATTCAAAAGTTTTTTTTAAAAAGATTATTAAAAAGAACGCAATTTTAGTTAAATAACAAAATATTTTAATCAAGAAAGCAAACATTTTGGTCCAAAAATCAAAATTTTTGATTCTAGTAAATTTTTTTCTAAAAACGTAAATTTCTACTATAATTTCTGTCATTTTTCAATTTTAGTAACAAAATTTTTAATTAGTTTTTTTATTTTATTACTAAATAATAATCAAAAAAACATTTAAAAATACAAAATAAATAAAATAATAATAATAAATAAGAAAAATATAAGTACAAAATAAAAAGATAAATAAAAAATACATAAAAATGCCCAAGTGCATAAAATACGAAATATTATATATTTTATATAATAAACATATTTTGCAAAACGAAATAAATAATTTTCAACCCATCTCCTTTATTATTTGCGACAAAAAGAAATTTATAATTTTATTTCTTATTTACACAGCAGTCTTATCCTAAAAGTGAGCATTTTAAATTTAAATTCCATTTCTTTATTCCATGCAGCTATATGCAGCGCACAGACGGCATGTCTGATGCAGTATATACCTATACATATAAAACATTGATACGAAATTTTTGATAAGCACGTTTACATCTCGAAATATCAATAAAAAAAAATAAAAATTTTCCAGCCGCGAAAAATAATATCTAAATAAAAAAAGCGTCACTGATACTTTTTTTTTAAATGCAATCTATCACATTTCCGATTCTCAATTATTTTATCTTTTATTGAGTTTTAAATGCCTCAATATATATGTATATATTTTCCCAGTAAAATAGTTATTAAAATGCAATCAATTTTTTTCTTTTGTGATGATTGGAAAATAATTGAAGAATCGTTTTTAAATTTGATTCAAACAACATCAAAGGTTAAAAATTAAATATAATATACATGTTGTAAAATGCAAACTTTTCACTTTATATATACGAATTTGTGTGAGTTTGAATATTACCTATAATTTACTTGTAATTAAAAAATAAATAAATAAAAAAATCGATACAAAAATTGTTCAAAGGGAAAATAATTACAGTTTTTAAATTATAAAATATCGAGTATCTGCATTATTGGGGAAATTTGTTGATTAATCGAAGTTCAAATAAATATGTGTTAGGTTTAAATTCGCATTGAATATCAGTTCTGTATTTTCGGTGTATTTTTATTCAAATATAAATGAATTAAATAAATTTGAAAGATTCGACAATAAGTAAATTAAGTATTAAATTTAAAAAAATCAGCTGAAAATAAATAAAATAATAAATTGATTAAAAACATTTCGGCAATAAACAAATTGAATAATAAATTAATTTTAAAAAATCAACAGTAAATAAATTAAATAATTAATTTTCAAAAATCGGCATTAAATAAATTATATTATAAATTAATTTTCGAAAATCAACAATAAATAAATTGAATATTAAATTAATTTTCAAAAATCAGCAATAAATTATATTATAAATTAATTTAAAAAAGCAGCGATAAATAAATTAAATAAGTAAAATAAATCAAAGAATAAATTAACTAAATATAAAATCTGAAATAGTGAAAATTTTCGTTTCCCTGAAGTTTCGAAAGTTTAAATGAACAAAAATTTTTTTGATTTCATTCAAATTTGAATTTTATTGAAAAATACCTTTTTTCAAATTAAAAAAATTCTTAACAAACTAAATGTTTAATTAAATATTTATTTTATTATCGTTTTTTTTTTTGAAAATATTTAAAATAAAAAAAAAATTCATTCAAAACTTTTAGGACAAAAACAATAATGTTCCAAAATATTTGAAAGTTCAAATGAAAAAAAAATCGTTCATTTTGAAAGTTAAGAACTTGAGAAGGTAATTAATTTGCCCAGAAAAAATAATTAAGGAATTGAAGGAAAAAAGAAATTCATTATTTAGAGTGTAATATTAAATTTTTAATGTTACGAACAAAAATTTTAACGTATTGAAAAGAAGGTAATATATCAAAGCGAGTGATGAATCAAATTGATGGGGGTTAATAAGAAAAAATGCTCCCATTGAAAATGGAATTAACTTTTATAATTGCTTATTTCGAAATGGGAAGATTAACTTTTTAATCATTTTAATTGAGACTTGGTTTATTTGGTTTTAATGTTGTTTTTTTTTCTCCGAGTTTCGTGCGAGAGATTTCATCCAGCACCATTCGCGAGATGTTGGAGATTTAAAATTTTTTTTTCAACCCTCTCAATCGAACGTGAATCATTATTACCGTATTCTTCACATTTAATTGGAAAAAAAATTTTCATCAAAATTTTCTTTTGAACAAAAGTTTTATCAATATATAAACTCTATTTTTTTCTCTCTCTTTCTCTAGAGAGAAATTTTTTAATCCGTACTTCACATCTTTATAATTATAATTATATCAGACTTTAAAAAAAAGATACAAAAGCGTAAGATAGACGAAATATGAATTATAAAATTTACATCTCTGAAATAATAATATTTTTTTTTTGAGAAAAATTTGAAATTTTTTAAATTGAACTCTTCATGTGTGTATTTAAAAACAAAAGGAAAAAAATTTTTTTTTGTCAGACCGTCACATTTTATATTCAAGTGAATGAATTTCCATATCAAACAAAAAAGTCAAAGACGAATACAAAATAGGAAATTTTATATCTGTAGAAAATTTTTTTTCTTTTTTGCAAGGAAACTTTTTTTTTTGCTTTTGTTTTAATTAACAAACGAATTTGAATATTAGTCAAGTGAGGCGAAAGTGAAGCAAAAATGGGATTTTTTTTCTGTTTTTAAAAGGGGGAGTATTAATAAAGGAAGAAACATTTTTTTTTTTGAAATAATGCATCACGTCTGTCAAAATTATCAATCTCTATAGCTTTTTCAATGATTACTTGAGTGGTTGACACGCAAAGAATGTAGTGAAAGATAACATTTTTCTACCTTGTGTATCAAAATCCTACAAAAAAAAAAGAAAAAAATACATTTTTGTTTAATTTTTTTCTTTTTCATTACGAGCAAAAATCTGTGACTGAATCTTTCTGTAGGAAAACTCATTCAGGTGATTTTTTTCAAAAGCTTTTTTATCATTTCTTTTTTACTTTTTGTTGTTATTATTATTATTATTATTATTATTATTATTATTATTATTATTATTATTATTATTATTATTATTATTATTATTATTATTATTATTATTATTATTATTATTATTATTACGAATCATATTTTTAGAGATTAAATTAAATTTTTAATTAAAAGTATTTCTTTTACTTAAATTTATTTATTATTTATTTATTTATTATTAATGTTAAATATTATTATTAAAATATCAATAATATTTAATGTTAACACATTTCAATTGCAGAAAATTTGGTAAATTAAGCAAATGTGTTTTTTTCAATAAAAAAAATTTTTTTCCGTTAATTCTTTTGCGCCACTATAAAAAAAAAAGTTAAATATAAAGTTTCGAAATGAAAAATTTAACTTTTTAATTTATTGAAAATAATTTTAATAAAAAATATTTCGCTCAGAACTTATTTTACTATTTTTTTTTAATTCTTTTACAATGAAGCTGGTATTAAAAAAGAACATTGATTTATTAGAAAACGATTTTTTTTCTTCATTCAAAAAAAAAAAAAAAAAAAAAAAATTTGCTCCTCTTATATAAATGTGTTGTCAATTAATTGAAAGCTTTTCATTAAGCATCGCTGTAATTGAATAAAAGTTGGATGCTGTATATATATAAATTTATATACGGTTTAAAATTAAAAGCAGTAGAGTTAAAAAAATAAAGTTTAAAGATTGAAAATTATGGTTCATTGCTGATCGTTAATGATTTTATTGACTCTAGTGACAAGAAGGGATTGATTACCAGCTTGTTTTGAAGTTTGATATAAATTGCTGTGCTCAACTTGCGATTTTTTTTTTTATTTTAGTTTATCGACACAGAAACTAGTGCGTCAGTCTAGCATTAGTTTTGAATTATTTATTAAGTAAAAGATAAAGGAAGGAAAAATTTTGTATTTCCAAAAAATTTTCCCCCTCGAAAAAAAGAAAAAAGAAAATTAGTTTTCGAAGTCATTTATATTTAATGTCTATGTTATTTATTATCTATACTATTTTTATAGTTTTATTATATATTTTTTGTATTCTTCATTTATTTGTGTGCATCGAGTGTCATTATTATTATTTTTATTTTTAATTATATAATTAAATTAAATTGAATTTATAGTAAACTATTTTTTTAATTATTTAATTAAATTATTATTTAATTATTATTATTATTATATGAGTTTATTGTAAATTACTTTTTAATTTTTATTAATTTTATTTTTTTTTATTTCATTTTATTTATAATTATTAAATTTTTATTTATTTTTTTAGTTAGTTTATTATGTAACGTCCGAGATTTTTGATGATTTTGTTTATTTAAAAAAATATTTTTTAATATGAAATTGAAATTAAATAAATGTTGCTTGAAGCAATATTTTTTTCTCCCCCGACTGTCTGTCCAATTCTTCTTTCAATTTATCGTTTGAAATAATTTTTTTCCCCGCTTTCTTTCCGAGGATTTTTCTGGCTTTTCGTTATTACTATTAGAAATTCTTTCGAAATTACATTTTTTTCTAGTAAAACAAACATGACGGGGAATATTTAATGGAAATATACATTTTTCATTTCACATTTGTAATTAGTATTCTTCACGACTGTCAAAGTCAGAGTGCAGTTGAGTTTGTAATACTCCAACTGAATGTAAACGTCAGTTTAAATTTATAGCGTTTATATATTATTTTCATTGTTCAAAGTGTGTATCCTCTTCAGTAAAGAGAAAAATCAGTCTGTAATGGAAAAAATGGAAAAAGAAAGAAAAATTGCATTGAATATTATTAGAATTGATGAATTAAAAAAATTTCTTCTTTTGATAAAGAAAAATCGAGGGGAGAATTTAGTTGATAAAATAATTTTTTATAGAATTTTTTTTTAATGAATAAAAGATAAAAATTGAAAAAAAAAGAAAAATAAAAAAAAAAGTAAAAACATGAAAATAAATAAAAAGATCTAAAAATTTGAATAAAAATAAGAAGTAAATAAATAAAAGCAGAAAAAATAGAAACTAAACAAATAAGAAAATAAATAAAAACAGGAAAATAATTTTAAAAAATCAATAAAAATATAAATAAAAATAAGAAGTTAAATAAAAAAAGCAGGAAAAAAATAAATGAATAAAAAGTAAACAAATAACAAAATAAATAATAAAGGAAAATACTTTTTATTCATTTATTTATTTGACATTAAGAAAATTAATATTTTTGTTATTATTTTGATTTGTAAATTTCAAAATATAACAAAAAAAAAAAAATAATAGAACAAATATTTTATCTTTTTTCTGCGTAAATAAAACCGTCACGTATTTTTTTCTTTATTCGGAGTTTGCAAAAAAATTGAAAAAAAAAATTTTTATGCCATTTATTTTTGTACTGGTTTAGTTTTCTTTCTATTTCATTTTTGGTGGAATTCTTTTTCCGTGTCTAGAATATTTGAGAGATGACGATGCGAGAAATTTGAACTGGCACACAGGTAATTCAATATATTAGAGAATAATTTCTCTGAGACCCAAAATGCTGAAATGTGGACACCACCATCTCGAAGTTTAGCTCCCAAATTACCAAGTCGGTAACTCAGAACTCAAGCGTGGAATTTTCCACTTGAATGCACTTAATTCACTTATTTACAGGCAGTCGAACACTTTAGCAAAAATTTATATAATTACTCCATCGAATTTCTTTGAAAATTATTTATCTTAAAAAATTATTGAAAGAAAAAAATTATATTGTAGACAAAATTGAAATAATAGCTGCAATAAAAAGAACTATAATTTTTGAACTTTTAATTTCATTTCGAAAAAATATTTGTTGAATCAAATTTATTAATTTTTTAATTGACAATTTGAAAAAGAAAAAGGAATTCAATGATTAAATTTTAAATTTCGTTTCAAAAACTTTTTTTTTGGGGGAAATGTGTAAATTTAGAGTTGAAAAATTTTTTTCTCAAGAATATTTAATAAAATATTTAATTTTTTAATTGAAATTCAAAAAGTAGGAAATTCAAGTTTAAATTTTAAATTTCGTTTAAAAAATTTTGGTTAAAAATAAATATTTTTAGGGAAACTTTTTTTGGGGGGGGGGGAAATATGCAAATTTAGAGTTGAAAAATTTCTTTTCCAAGGTATAATTCGGTGGCAGAAGTTTTGAGGATATAATTTCTGTTAATTAAAGGCATATTCAAGTGCTAGATGCGTCTGGAGACACATGCAGGCGACTGTAAATTTACAAAGGGATTTCATTCTTTTTCAAACTTTCTAAAAGCTCGCCAAAGACTTGCACACCTGCTCCTTAGAAACAGATGTCGGTGTCGGTTAGAGTTGTAGCTATTTTTGAATTTTCTATTCAAAAACTTTTCTATTCCGTCACAGATTGAGGAAAATTTATTCCGCAACCCTTTCGCATTATATGAATTTATATAATACATTGTTCATCAAAACTCCATGTATTGTTATTATTATTATTTTTATTATTATATTCTTATTTTTATTCTTTATTTCTTATTTATTTGATTAATTAAATTATTATTGATTATTACTCATTTATTATATTAATTTTCGGTAATTATTTCTTCCTCATAGAGGAAGTATTATTATTATTATTTTTAATTATAAATTATTATTTTTATTGTAATTATTATAATTCTTAGTTTTATTCTTTATTTTCTATTTTACTCTCGTTTTTATTATCATTATCATCATTTTATAGAAAATTATAATCCGTAGGTAAAAGAAATTCTTTTCTCAAATTTCATATTGAATGAAGTTTCTTTGAATGTCAATCAAAAACAATTCATATTCACTTGAAATTAATTCTGATTCTTTCTACTTTTCTTCAAAGGGGTAATAGAATTTCATTAAAACGAACTAAATATACTTTTTAGTGATTTCGAAAAAAAAATTTAATTTTCTTCTTTTGAGATCAAAAATTAAAAAAAAAATCCCTTTACCGAGTTTGTATTTGTATTTGACGTTTGAATTCCATGAATCAAAAATTAGGGAAATGCGAGTGGAAAAAAAATTCTCTTAAATTTATTTCCGTGGATCAAATTTTATAAAAAGGATTTACTTAATTATTATTATTAATTTTATTTTTTTTATTTAGTTTATTATTATTATTTTTTTAAATTTTTATTTCTATTTTTATTTTTTATTTTTATTTCTATTTTTATTTACATTTTTATTTTCTTTCTTTATATTTTAAATTTTTATTTATTTTTTTTTTATTTATTTAAATCGTTAAATAAATAAATAAATATTTTTTCATAAAGACTGTATTTTTTTTTTGTTTAATATTTTATAAGTTACTTGTCAATATTTTTATGATTATGTAAAAAAAATAAATGAAATGTAAATTGAAAATTTGATTTGAATTAAAATTTTAATTTTTATTAATGTTTTAGAATTGCAGCATTCGCCGAACATCGTTGAAAAAAATAATAAGAAAAACACGAAGAAACCAATGTTACCAGCGATAGATTTATTTCCCTCGGTTTTTCATTTTAATCATGCAAATCAACACAATATGTCTTCTTTACTTGATAGTATGAGATGCATTAAAAGGTAAATTGAACACGAAATTATTATTATTCTTTCTCCACTTACTCACAATAAGCTTATAACCAGTATTATTTTTTGTGCACTGGTCCACTATCTCTTTATTATTTTACACCAACTCACGAGTTGTATTTTTTTAACACTAAACTTGCACAACTTTTTTATTATTACTACTGTTTTTGTTAAATAATAATTGATAATATTAATTTTTGGTATTATTATTATATTATTATCATTATTATTACTATTATATTATTATTTTAAAATTATTATTACTATTGTTATTACTATTATTATTAGTAGTAGTATTACTATTATTTTATTATTTTACTATTATTAATTATTATTATTACTATTATTTTTATTAGTAGTATTACTATTATGTTACTATTACTGTGTTACTACTATTACTATTATTATTTATATTATTATTAATATTACTATTAATATTAACATTATTAACAATTTTCACTAACAATTATGATTTTTTATTTCAAAAAAGTTTTGAATCTTCAAGTGAATGACAATTTTTTCCCATTTGATTATTTTTAATAACTAAATTAATTAATAATTAATTTCATTATTTTTAATATTTAAATTCATTAATAATTAATTTCATTATTTTTAATATTTAAATTAATTAATAATTAATTTCTTAAAGAAGAATAAAGAATAAAACAAAAGAAAAATAAATAGAAGATTAAATTTTAATAATAAAATGAATCAGAATTATAGAAAATATAATTAAACATTCAATCAAGAATTAAGAATTCGTTTTTTTAATGTAAAAATTTGTAAAATGTAAAATAAATATTTTTTTTATAAAAAGGAAAAATATGCAGAAAAAAAAATTTTGTCGTTCATTTGAACTTTGGAAACTTTGAGAACGTTATTTTATTCACATATTGAGAATAATAATTAATAGTTCAAATATTCACTTTAAGGTAAATTTTTTTTCGTCAAGTTTAAAAATTTTTTTCTCAATGTTTTTTTGAAAACAATTTTTCTTTTATATTTGACACTGAATAATTACAATAACTATGTGAAGTTAATTATTAATGATAGTTGTGCAAAAGCAAATTTAATTAGGAAATTTACGATGGAAAAAATAATTAATTAATTATGATGAGTTTTACGTGAAATTAATTAATTACGCGATAATTAGGAAAATTTTTACTATAATGCAATTAGGATAGTAATTATGGTAATTTGTGTGGTGAAATTTATTAGCCAACTAATTTATGTCAATATGTATTCAATAATAATTTATTAGTAATAATTATAATTTTTTTATTAATAATTATTTATTGTTTTTCAAGAATAATTATTTATCGTTTTTTAGTAATAATTATTTATCCTTTATCATTTTTGAATAATATTGTTTTTAATAATATTATTTTATTTTCTAATAATAATATCGTCTTGCAATAAAAATATTGTTTTCCAATGAAAATTATTTTTCGTTTTTTAGTCATTCACTCATTATTATATAATAATGACTATTTAACATTTTAACTATTTATTAATTTTTTTATTTGCAATTTATCCTTATTGTGAATAAATTTTTTTTTTTTAAATGAAAATAGTTGAAGCAAAAATGTCTTTTATCTCAATTCTGGAGAAATTAGCAATTGAGAATATTCCTTCATGATTATATTTAATCTAAAGAAATATTATCTCGAGAGGGAAAATGTAAAATAAGAAATTCTCTTATATTAGTGTATGTAGATATAGCTTATAATAGTCTGAATATAGTCTAGAAATTCTCTTTTTAATGAATACGTATATTTGGAGAAAAATATATAACTCTATTCATTCGAGTGAAAATGAGTGTTCGTAAAATTTAAATTCTATCCTCAATAGTTTGCTTCACTAGGTAGTAAAAGGGGTTTTGGGTATATATATAAAGGTTCGAAATTGCAAGCCATTTACGTTCTATTGTCTGGTTATTAAGTATGGGGAAGAGAAGAACCTTTCTAATTTAAGCTGTGTCTTCATTTAGGAAAATTGTCTTTCATAAGCATATTTGAATTACAGTAATATAAGTTCCAATATTAATGACTGCTACGAAAAGCCCATGAAAGCAGCATTATTAAAGGAGTCCATCCATCAGGCCTTGAGCTGGATTTTGATGTCTTATCGAAATCTCCCAAAGGTGAGAAATTGCAAACTAATTTTTATTTTTATTATCGATTATTTTCGCAAGGACTTAAATTTTTTTTTATTAAATACCAGGCCTCGGTCTTATATTAAATTGCGACTTTTTCGTACTTTTCTTCCAAAATTTTGCGATAAAATATATTTTTACTATGAAATTAAATGCAACTTATTTCGATTTTTATAATGCGAAAAATAACTATAAACAAATCTTTCAAAATTTGTTTTTTTAATAATTTTTCTAATTAGACTTTTGAAATGTACAATTAAACAGATTTTGAATAATTGAAATTTTGTAAAGTTTAATTAAAAATAAATCATTTTTTTCAAGTATTTTATTACAATTTTTGAAAATTAACTTTTAACAATTTAATTAAAAATTTTGGAAATAATTCAATTATCAAAAATTTGAATGAATTATCGTGTTAATTCAATAAAAATGAAAATTAGGTTCTAAAAATAATTTATGAAAAAAGTAATTCTCTGAATTATTTTGTTCTAATTTTTTTAAATTCAATTTTCAATATTCAATATTTTCAATATTTAAGAGAAAATTCAAATACATACACAATAATAAGAACATTAACATTTTTTAGAATTATTTTTAACATTTTTGGAGAAAATAATCATATTCAAAATTTTTAATTATAAAATTCTTCAAAAAAAAATTTTTTTTAAATTATACAAAAATTCTTCAATTATTTTCGAAAAATTACATTACAATATTTAAAAAAAAACTAATTCTTAAAATTGTTTGATTAAAATTTTTTAAGATTCAATTACCTTCGAAGAAAGTAAATTAAAATTTTTTAAAATCTACTATTTTAGAATTTTTGAGAAATTATTTATAATTAAAAGTCTTTAAAAATTTTATTTTTTAAAAATATTTCTTAAAAATTCAATTATTTTTCAAAGATTTAATCAAATTTTCAATTATTTTCCACAAGATTTTACTAAATTTTTTTTTTTTTAAAAAAAAAATTTTTTTTTTTTAAAGATTTTCGCAAATTTCAATTGTTTGGACATTTTTTAATTGTATATTGTAAAACTATTGTCTTTCAAAAATTATTTAGAAATATTTTTAAATAGTTAATTTTACGAATTTCTGTATTAAAATTTTTGAAAATATTCTACATTAGTATTTTTTAAAAGAAAAATCCACTTTTTCAATTATAAAAAATTGAATTTTCGAAGAACTTTCGGAAAATTATTAAAAATTAATATAGATTAATATAGATAATTGATTTAGATATTAAATTTAGTTAAAAATTGTAGAAAATAATTGAATTTTTGGAAGGGTTATAGTTTTAATTGTTAGAAATTATTAAATTTCAGAAGTTGAAATTTAAAAAAAATTTTTTCATGTAAAAAAAGAAATAAGAAGTATTTAAATATTTATTTGGTAAAATTATACAAGTTTTGATAAATTGAATTTAGAAATCAGGGAAATAGAAAATAAAATTTTTGTGACAACACTAATTTTAATAAACGATTTTTTCGACTTTTTTTCTATTTTCAATCGACCAAAAGCGACCTTTTTTTTATTTGTTAAAGTCGATCCGAGGCCTGAATAACTGATTGTAAAATTTTGTTGTAGACCCAAGGCCACAAAATTTACAAACATTATTTTTATTTATTTTTTTTCTTCTTTATTTTTTATTTTAGTTATTTTGTTTTCTTCAGTTATTTCTTTAGTTTAGTTTACTTAATTTCTTTATTTATTATTTTCTCATTTATTTAATTTATTGTTTTATTATTGTATAATTGTGATAAAAAGAAAATAAAAAATTCATGAACAACCGATTCGATTTAAAACAATAAAAAAAGAATAATAATAATTAAAAATTTTAATAAAATAATTATAAAAATTTACTGAATCGTAAATTTGAATTTTTTTGACATTAATAATAAACTAAAAAGAGAAGTTATAAATGAATTAATGTGTGAAACATAATTTTATTTTGAGTGACGTTTGACGAAAGGAAAAATGAAAGCTTGAGGGAAACAAAAAGTAATATAATATATTGAGTTTAACGTCCTTCTTAGTTTATTGATTACTGGAACCTTATAAATTCAGGGTGCTCACTAACATCTCAGCGATAATATCATAATATTTTATGCTGCTAATGGCGATGGAAATTATACCCAGTCATTGTTAATTTACATGCATATGTATATATTTACGGTTTAATTTTCAACTTTTCTTTTCTTTTTTTCTTTTTCCTTTTTTTTCTAAATATAGAGTTACACGCAAATATCATAAGTCAAAATGTAAAATGTTTCATCAAACATCATTTCTTTTTATGCAGATTATTATCGTTTAACGATATGAAAAAAACTAATTGCAGAGTCATTTTGCCCTTTTCACCTCGATTTTATCGTTTTGGTTTTGTCTCAATTTCTGATATTTCTAAATACATTTTGTGGAAAAATTTTCCTTTTTTAATTGTTAATTTAGTTATAATTATTATTTATTATTATTGTATTATAAATTCTCTTTATTTTATTTGTTTTATTTTAGTCATTTTATTTTATTTATTTAAGTAATTTTATTTCACTCATGAATTAATTAATCACCAAGTTTTATTTTATTTATTCTTCGTAGTTCAACTAAATGGCTAAATTTGATTAATTATTAATTTGAATAAACATTTGAGTGTTATTCAAATTATTAAATGTTGGTAATTATTTATTGGAAAATAAATATTTAATTTAAACATTCAATTTTCAAATTATTTCGAAAAATTATTTATCGTAATAATTAATTCAAATTAATTGATATCAATTTTACAACCACATTAATTATCAAAATGATAATAATCTGTTGGAAAAATGGTTAATTTTCAAAAAAAATTGATTAACACGAGTTGATAAATACACCGCACAATTAATTTGATATATAATTAATTAGTTCCTTGCGTTATTAATTTACTTTCGTATTATTAATTTTTCTTCCTTTTTTTATTTACAATTTTTAGAATTACTACTCAAGTAAATTATTCTTGAGTTTTTCCCTAAACTTTATCAGATTGGATTAAATTATCAAGATTAGAATTGAAAGAGAATTTTATGTGTATGAAATTTTCGGGGGGGAAAAATAAAGTTTTTTTTTTCTTTCGATCGATTTTCCCGTTTTACACTATTTTCATCCTGTGTTCTGTCCATCAATTACGGTTCGCCCTTTTAGGACAGCACTTCCGGGCTCCCTTAGGAATGCAATTCTTCACAAAGAGGAAACATTGCTTTTTTTTACCCTCCTGCAACTGTCAGGTCTTTAAAACTCGAAAAAAGAGAGAAAAAACTAAAAAAAAAATTAAACGTAATGTCTGGTTAAAAAAAATATACGTAATTATCAGAAAATTCTTTTTGTATTTTTAATTCTCTAATAATAATTACTGAAAAAGAAGATACAAGAATAATCCGGAAATCCTGTATTAAAATTTTTGGGGGATACAAAAATTATCCAAGCAAGGAGAAAAAGATTTTGGGAAAAGGGAAAATAGAATAAAATTACTCCGGAAATCCTGTAAAATTAAATCAATTTAATCTTTTTCCAAATATTGTTTGTAAAAAAGGGAGAAAAATATATTCACAGTTGTTTTGAACAGAATTTAATTTTTAATTTAAAAATAAAATCTTTTCACTTGAAAATAAAAAAAAAATTTCGTTTTCGTCAAACGAAACTCATGTTTTGCGACAGGAAAGTTTTATTTTGATCTCTGAAATCAAGTTGTAAATAGTCAGTCTTTGATAAAATTAGTACGAAGCGTCTCTTCTTTTTTTTTTTTTTTACTTTTTACTTTTTTAATGAATGAAGAATTATTATAATTTTTCTAGATAAATTCCTTGAAATTATTTTTTAAAAAAATATTTTTTCTTCCTCCCCATTTCCAGGATGAAAATTCTTCAGCTTATCTTGAAAGTACGTCGGATTTATTAGCAATGTACATAGACATGGAACTGAGAGCGTCTAAAAGAGGACAAGAACAATTCAGTGCAATTTCGACTCGACTAATTTGTTGCCTTTATACGTACCTTGGTAAGAATTTTTCATAATTTTATATATGAAATTGAATTTTTTATCAAAAAAAAAAGAAAAATGAAGAATTTTAAATTAACCGCATTTTATACTCGTTTTCTTTATTTTCAGATAACTCCACTGATTATATGGTTGATACTTTAATCAAAATTCGACACATGAGTCATTTATTTCATATTATTCTCGATCCAATTATGGCGTAAGTTGTTATTTTCTTTTGAATTATCGATTTTTCTTTTTTATTCCAGATTTTTTTAATGCTTCAAATTCGAAGGAAATTTCAAGAAAGAATTTTATTTTTTATATTTCAGTATAAAGAAATATTTGAAATTATTTATTTATATTTCTGTTTTGAAAACTCGATTAAACTTTGTATTTTTAATTTTTCTGTTTTCCATTTTCTAAATTTACATTTGCAATAAATCAAATTTTGTTTATTTCAGGAAAATTTTGAAAAATATTCCACCATTGCCAAAATCGGAAATAGTTTACGTGAGATATTTACTTGGTTTTCGCCTTTGGAAAATGATAAACAGTGATTTAGTTGGAAAGAAACAAATTCGTCAAACTGCTGTCACTCTATTGGGTACGGCGCCAACGAATTTGCCCGATTTTCTAATGAATTACTACGGTTCCGGATCGCAGATGAAGTCAACTCTATTTTTAATGAAGCACAAATTTGACGTGAAAGCATGCTGCGCCGATTTTATTAATTTTTGCAAGAGAGAAGCTGAAAATTGTTCTCAATCCGATGACAAAATGAATTGTCACGAACGAGTTCAAGATCCAGAGCAACAAGTGGTGAGAAAAAAAATAAATTATCAATAATTAGCCATTTTTTCTGTAGAGTAGAATTTTTTTTCAATTCTGATTTTCGTAAACATTAGATTTTCCCCAATTTCGATTTTTTCAAATCGATCTCCTTTTGTTACAATAAAATATGTTTCTCATCACATTTTTTTTTTGTTTTTAAATAGCCGAATGAAGTTATTGCCAAAGAATCTAGTTCAATTAAAAAAGTTTGTTCTTTATCGGAAAAAATTGTTAACGATCCTAAAAATTGCGTTTTATTAGATACATCAAATAAATCTAATCTCTCTAATGATTTAAGTAGAATTTCAATTAACGATTCAACACCTATTTTAAATAATAAATCAATTAATAAATCCATTAGGCCTTTAACGAAACGAAAAACGAAAAAATCCACAGACATTATCATAATAGATATAACTAATGAATATTCTGCACCGAAGATAACAAGAAAGAAGAATCGAATATTAATACCCTGGTTAGAGAATATAAAGAAGCAAAATTTACAAAGGTTAAATACAGAGAAGGAAGAGAAGAAGAATAAGAAAAAGGAAACAAAATCGCCTGCGAAGGAAATTCTCAAATATTTCCTATTGGTAACTGAAGACAAGGAGCAAAAGAAAATTGAATCAAATCTTTATTCATCATTTAATACGTGGGTGGAATTTAAAGAGGAAATACCTGCCACGGATTTTTATCAATTTTTTGATGAAGAAGCAAGTGAAGAGGATTCTGACGAAATTATTGTATCTTCACCAGAGGAAGGCATTAGAGACTTATCCATAAAATCAGTATTAAATAGTGATAGAATTTCTAGTGATAGTGAAAATAATAGTGAGGAATTATTAATGGATAATAATGAAGAATTAATTAAAGAAGAAGAAATTCCCATTGTTGCGAGGCTCGATAATTACAAGACTGATTTGCAAGCAGAGGCTAATGTTATTAATAATTCGGATGTAAATAATATCGAGACAAATACCGTTTGCGAAGGTATGTCGACCATGATTTTGGATGAGCGTCAAAATTCAACTCCACCTGAATCGTTCAATCAATTTACGGATTTACCATCGGTTAGAATTTTTGATGAACAAACAAAGGACAGTGAAATTGACGAGAGAAATCAACCACTTGATTGTTCGTCAAAAATTTTGGAAACATCCAATATTGTAGAATCGAATTTACAGCAAACATCTTTTGCTACCAGTGAAAATTCAAATGTTTTGAATTATCCCGAACGTCCCTCAAATATTGTTCATTCGTCAAATTATCTAAATTCTCCCACAAGTGCTTTTGAGACACCATCATCAAATATTCACAATTCGGCAAATTTTTCCACTAGTTCTCCGTATTTTAGGGACAATTTAACAAATTACTGTGACTCGTCATTTGGTGAAAATCAATCTGTTGTTGACTATACACTACCAAAGGGGAAAATAATTGAAAACTCCCCGAACACTGACAATTATTCATTTCAAGATTCTCAATTTCAAGAAAATGCTGATGCACTATCGGTATTGGCTTCTGTTTGCGCCGCGCAAAAGGGCAATAATTCACCTTCGAAAATTATTAAAGTGAAGGATTACGCCCGCTGGAAACCGACAACAACCAGCTATCCCGAAATAGACTCCAAGGCTCTCTATCAATTCTCTGATAATTCTGACGTCATGAGCAGCCGAGTAGTCAACGTATATCCGGAAGATGCTTTTGACAAAGTGGCCCTTCAAGTTGAAGTTATATCAACGAGCGATGGATTAACAGACAATATGAGTCAATCATTTCGCGAAACGCCAAATGTCATTCTCAATGGCGAGACTGTTATTCTATTGCAAAAATCACCGAATAGTAATGTTTATATCATCAACAAGGCGAAGGAGAATAAAAATAGTGACGACGAGGAGGACGATGAGAAGTTGCTGCGAAACGATAACGAAATTCCCCAGGACACGGAATCACAACACAAGAATCTAAACATAAAAACCGAAGTTGATGATCTAATGCTAAAAACCGAGAAGAAGAAAAATTGTCGTCAAAACGTCAAACAGGAATTCACCACCTGCGGTATTCCGTTGATTTCTCACGAGCACAATTCACAACTACCATTGCACCCAACAACAATTCCCACCTATTTTTCCACAAATCCCGAAATTCGAATGCCATACCACAAACACTGCGGCACTCTGCCAATAAATCCATCCACTGCCGTAATTCCCCAAAATTCACTCTGCACTTGTCTAGCCTCGCCCTACGAAGTCATGACCCACTGTCACTCCCACATTCATCCAAACACCGAGGCAAACACCTTCATCGAAAATAATTCCTACTTTCTTCCCAATCAACAATCAACCGTCCAAGAGCACGAACGAACAAAATCAAATTCCCGAATTTCCAATCTCTACGACGATCAACTATACTGTAAACACGAGTCAAAAACAAAAGAAGAAGTCAAATACAAAACAGAAATTAAATATCAACGCGAAAACAATAGATTACCCCTTAAAAAAAGATTGAAACCCTATGATATGTCAATAAAACTAGAGCGTTATTCAACAAATCCAGAAATCCAAACACAGGGAATGATGACACCACCGGAAATTGGTGCAACTGTCGAACTAACAACAGCCAAGGAAGATTCATCATCGCCCATTGAAAATCGTCACTTACTACACTCGCATCATTATCATCATCATCATCAATTGGAAAAAATTCGCGACAATAATAAAGATCAAAGGCGACTTGTCAATAGTCAATTGAGTAATGTGCCATTGCTCCCACCACCCTCGCATTATCACGAATCAAGTTACCAAAGAGCTGGTGATATTAAAACATCAAAGGCAAATTCAACATTAAAGCGCTCGGCAAATCCTCAGGAATTGCAACAGCAGCAGCAGCAGCAATCATCAAGCAAAAAAGCCCGAAGATCCACATCACGACAAACAAGAAGTTCCCAAAGAAAAATGCCGAAAGTTAATTACAATTATAGTGGAGACGATGTAGAATTATATCCGTCCTGTTCGAAACGAAAGAGGAAGAGGACTAGTCGATGATCAATACTGCTTCCCATCAAAATTCACCGTTGTTGAAGATAAAAATTTTTCCCCGTAACAAAAAAAACATCACTGATTTTATCAGGCTGTGGTATTTTTAATTTGTAAATAGTAGCAAAAAAAAAAAGGATTAACAAATAATTGTAAATACGTCTTTTTAAAAATTCATCACTCGAAGAAAACATCGCACGAAGAAAACAGAAGATCTTTCGACAACTATTTTGAAGATTATTTTTCAATAAATATTGAATAAATATTTTATTGAATAACTCCTACTTTTGAAGATAATTGGTTATGTGAGATATTATTTTGCCTCACCGAGGAAGAGGATTTCCTTACCGATTTCGAATTTAGTTTGTAAAAAGCGAATTTGACCAAAAAAAAAAAAATTTTTTTTTTCTTTATTCGATGCGGTGTAAATTATATCGGAATACGTAAAAAACAAAATAACTTGTGTATAAATAGTAAAATAAAAGTATCTATAACATTCTCGTTTATATTTGAAAGTCGAATAAAAAAAACTAACATTTTTCGAAAGTCTGAGAAAGATATTAATGAAATATTTTGTAAAAAAAAAAGGAAACGAAAGAAGAAGATAAAAAATCGATAATGTAGTTAAATATATTTATGCAATTAGAAATTATTTAAAGTTTAAAGAAATTGAAACGATTCGTCCATGCACTTTAGTGGGAGAACATGTTCTTCCACTGGCATGATTTCAAATTTAAAGGGACGGTAACTCGAGAAATAAATATTAATTTATTACAAATTTAAAAAGTATCGTCGACGAATACTTCTCACTGGTCCCACAGACAAAAAGCGACTAATCGTTAATCTGGGTAAATATTTTTTTTTATCTCAACCTTTTTTTGCGTAAACGAAACAATTTTTTGTTATTATTCGACTAAATTGTATATTTATTGTTTTATTTTTATTTAATTATATTTTTTTATTATTGTTTATTTCTATTTATTTCTATATATTTTTGTTTATTTCTATTTATTTTTGTTTATTTCTATTCATTTTTATTTATTTTTGTTTATTTCTATTTATTTTTCTTTATTTTTTTTATCAAGCAAATTGTTATTTGTTCAATTTTTTTTTAATTTTCAATTTTAATAAATTATTATTTGAATTTTTTTCTGTACAATAATTTTGTTCTTTGTTATATTTTTTGTACTATTTGAAATAAAAAAAATTAAAATTAATTAAATAATGAATTTTATAAAATTGAATAATACAAATTTTTATTTGAATTTAATTTAAGAACGTAATAAACTTAATTTAATAATAAATAATGCAATAAATATAGATAATAAATAATACAAATTATCCGAAAATTTCATTGAATAAATACATTTAAATAAATAATTTTCAAACATTAGCAGAGTTTATTTTTAAATTCAAAATTAATTATTAAAATAAAATCATGAAAGAATTAAATGCGATTAATGAAAATTATTTATTATTAATTTTTATTAATAAATAATATTCAGTAATGTTTATTTGGTATTAATAATAAATAATATTATGCAATATTAATTAATAATATTAAGTAATTTATTTATTATTAATAATAATAAACAATATTTTTAAAAAGTATAAAAAATTTTATTTTTTTTTTAAATTAAAAAAAAGTGACAAAAAATAATTCGAAAGTGAAGTTTAAAAAATTAATTGAATATAAATTAAATAAATTTATTAATATTAATTTAATAAGTTAAATAATATTATTCTAAATGTCCGAAGAAATTTAAAGAAAAAATTTCGGTAAAATATTTATTTATTTTTTAACATATATAAATATTTTATTTATATGTTTGGAAGCTTTTTAAAAATTTTCAGTTCTCTATGTACTTGATAAAAATATTTGTTTTATAAAACGAAATTTCGATAAAAAAAAAAACGAAAATATTTATAAATATAAAAATGCAAATTTGTAAAAAATATTTACAAAAGTATTAATTTCTTTATTTTTTTTATTTATACAGAAATATTGCAAAAAAAAATTATTTATTAACAAATTGCATATTTTGTTTACAGGTTGTTTTACAAAGCTGTTTTATTCTACTTTAACTTGCTTCAAGGTAGTGAAAATTATACATTTTATCACTGTTTTCAATTTTTTTTCGCAGTAAATTAAAATTAAAAATTAATTAAAATAAACGTTGTGAATAAATTTATTAATAATATGATTATTTTCAGATTTGGACAACTGAAACAAGTTTTAGAATGAGATCAGATTCAGTCAAACTTTTTTAAAGACTGAAAGCCTATTACCGGGTTTTAAGAAGATAAGGGGGGAAGGACCTGAATTTTTAGAGTCTCAGGAATCGATTTAAAAAAAGTGAAAGCAAACACTTATTTTGTGTTCAGGTAGAAATTTTAATATATTTTTAATAATTATTTGTGTATTTTTTATATTTTTATTTTTATTTTTTAAAATATCTTTCTTTATATCTTTATGTATAATCATAATTTTTATATACTATATTTTAATATTTATTTTATATTTTAATTGTTATTAATATTTTTTTTCAATTTTTTGCAAATTTTTTTTTGTATTTTCTATTTTTTAATTATTTACATATTTAATTCTTGTATTTTTTAAATGATATCTGAATTTCTTGTTATTATATTTTTTAATAATATTTTAATAACTGTTTAATGATTTCTGTATATTTATCTTGTTTCTATATTATAATTTATTTTTGTATTATTTATTATTCGTTAATATTATTTATTTATTTTCAATTTGTGGATAATTCAGGAAAAAATTGGAAAATAATTTTATTTTGTTATTATTATTAATATGATTTATTGCTGATTATTAATTAATTTATTACTTATTATTAATTAATTTATTTATTTCTTATTATTAATTATTTATTACTTGTTATTAATTAATTTATTTCTTATTATTAATTATTTATTACTTGTTATTAATTTATTTATTACTTATTAATTAATGAATTACTTAATAACTTATTTATTAATTAAAATGAACTAATAATTTATTTACTTCTTTCAGATTAATTAGATATTAAAAACATGAAGAATTCCATGCTATTCAGTAAAATGCCGTCAATAAAACTTGCCAAATAAAGCAGATAATATCATACAATTAGATAATTATAAGCAACCGACTACTTATGTACGAAAAAAACAATAGTCCAGTCAAATAGTTCCGTGTTTAATAACAAAAAAAAATGATTGTAATTAATAAAAAATCAAAAAAAAAAAAAATAGATAGCATGGCTGACTAGTCATCTTAAAATTTAAAAAAAAAGATGTATTCTTTAAAACAAAAAGCGCTTATTGAATGAACAAATAATGATAATGAGATCGATACCAATTATGTACATTCCCTATATACAATTATTATTTCTTGCACAACCTATTGTTTCGAATAGTTTAGATAAGAAAAGAATTTTCTTTTCTGTTAAAAAAAAAACCCTTTTCCACCATTCCATTAATTATGTGCCAATCTAAATAGTAATATACTTTAAAATAGTGACAAAAATAAATTTAAAAAAATCTGTGTTTTTTTTAATGAAAAGCCGATTTCAAAATTTGCTCAGAAAGTAAATTTTAAATTAATTTTAAAAAAATATAACGAGATATTTTTAGTCAAATTACAATTTTCAATATAGTCATATCCCAATACCTGATCTCAAACCTGTGATGACACTCGATAGCTCTAGCTGAGAAATGAAAAAAAAAAAATGTTTTTATTTGTACAAAAAAAGAAAAAAAAATTGTACCTCGCTTATTGTTTTTTTTTTAATCTATCATTGCCAAATACGTAATACAAAAATCTTTGCAAGAAGTGTGTATTCCCAAAAAAAAAATGTTTTCTTTTTCTTCTTCATTTAAAAAAAGATCTCTGATTCATGTGTATAAAAAAAATAATTCACACTTCAAAAAGTGAAGATAAATGAGTGACCTTCCTTTACTCTACGAATTTAATAATTATAAAAATTATTAAAAATTTTTCTAAAAATAGACTGCATTATTAACAAATTCTCGTTTTATTTTCTTCTAAAAACTGATTTTCTGTTAATTAAAAGTCTGATAGATTTTAAGTTCGTCTATGTAAAATTATTATTATTATTATTGAAAAAAATATAAAAGACTGATCTACTTTTATTGGAGCGTGTTAGAAAATATTAGTGAAAAAAAAATAATGATAATTAAATATATAGTCTATAAGTACAATAAAAGTCGATCAATCGAATATTTTTTTTTCTTGGAAATAAAAATAAATTATCGTATTTTAATATGGCATGGACTTAAGATAAAATAAAAAAGAAAATTTAGAATTCGAATCAAAAGTGTACTTTTACGTATATTATTGATAATTAAGATATTAGTTTTATTAAGTGTAATTTGTGAATTGTGTTGTACGAATGTATAGATATTAATAATATGTTGATTGAAAGGCTGATCCTTTAGGGAAAAAATTATTTACCATGAAAATATTATAAAAAAAAAAAAAAAATGAAAATGATGATTATGAAGAAAAAAAGCCTCCTTTATTGGCTGTCATTTTCTTTTTAAATTGACGGTAAATAAAGTATAATGTGGCGAAATTAAAATTATTTATAATATTAAGGACCTTACCACACACAAGCTATGTATAAAGCATTTGTTATGTCCTATAATTTATAATATGAGAAATATAGATATCTTTACATTAAATATCGACTTTTTCCTTGATATTGCCTCTTTTATATTTATAATATTATTTACTAAAATATTTATTAAATATTATTAATTTATTATAAATTATAACATTGATTAAAAATTATTTATTTTGATATTAATTTAAATAATTTAATATTATTTATAAAAAAAATTATTTATTAAAAATTTTTCTTTTTGGACAATTTTTTGAATTTTACATTATTTTATAATAATGAATTTTTAATTTCAATAAATAATTTCTATAATTAATTATTTTTCGACACTTTATGGGTTTAGAATTTATTTTATGAATTTGAAAATTAAATTTCTTCTAAATTCATTGCTCAAATTTATTATTAATTTTAAGGAAAATAATTACAATTTTTTTAAAGAAATTGAAACCAAAGGAGCAGAATTTCGTGAAAGTTAATTAATTAGTTTTTAATTTAATTTTAATGAAAGTTTTTTATTTATTTTCAATTTTTATTACAATATTTCGTTTAATTTTTGTCTTAATTGAATTTTAATAAAAATTTAGTCTCTATTTTTAATTTTAATGAAAAATTTTAACTCCATTTTAATAATAATTTTCAATTTATTTGCAATTTTAATTAAAATTTTTAATTTATTTTAAATTTTAATAAAAAGTTTCAATTTAAATGAATATTTTCAATTCATTTCTAATTTTAATGAAAATCTTTAATTTATTCTTATTTGTAGTCAAATATTTCAATTAAAGACTGAAAATTTTTAATTCAAATGAACCTTTTCAAATTTATTTTTAATTATAATAAAAATTAAAAATCTTTAATTTATTCTCATTTTCAATTAAATATTTTAATTAAATTTTATTGAAAACTATCAATTTATTTGTAGTTTTAATTAAAACTTTTAATTTATTTTCATTTTAATGAAAAGTTTCAAATCAAATGAACATTTTCAATTTATTTTTAATTTTTATTCAAGTTTAATGAAAATGTTCAATTATATAAACAAATAAATAAAATTTAAATTAATTCAATTTCAATGGAATTTTTCAGTTTATTTTTAATTTGAATGAAAACTTTGAATTAAAATTAAATGAAGATTGTCAATGACATTTTAATTAAATATTTTTTTATTACATTTTAATTTCAATGAAAAATTTTGAAAGCAGTTTTAATGAAAATTTTCAATTAAATTTAAATTAAAACTTTTAACTTCTTTTTATTTTTAATAAAAAAATGTAATTCAATTTAAATGAAAATTATTAATTTATTGTTATGAAAGAAAAATATTTATTAGAAAAAGCAATAAAAATGTAATTTTCATCATAATTGAAATTTAAATTAAATATTTGATTATCAAATGTCAGACAATAATCAAAATTATACAAAATTATAAATATGAAAATTTTTTTATAACAATTTTAAAAAGCATAATTAGAAAATTTGTAAATTGAATGAAAAGTACTTGAAAAATTGAAAATCATATAAATAATTGAAAATAAATTATAATGATTCAAAAATTTTTCAATAATATTGATTTTTTTTCATAATAATAATTTTGAAAGAAAAATTCCGAAATCGTGAATCGAAAAATAAAAAAAAATCAAAGAAGTATGAATTAGAAAATTTCTAAATTAAATAAAAAATACTTGAATAATTCAAAATCTTATAAATAATTGTAAATAATTCAAAAATTGTTGAAAATAAATTTCATATATTGATAATAAACGGGAAAAATTCACATTTTAATTAATAATACTGAATTTCTTTCATAATAACTATTTCGAAAAAAATTTCCAAAATCCTGAATCGAAAAGTAAAATAAAAAAAATAACTGTGAATTGGGAAGTGAAATAAAAGAAAAAAAGTGTAATTTAAATTTTTTCGTTTAATAAAATATAATGTTCGATTATCGCTATTTATTAACATAATGTATGTCGAATAATTCAAATAATAATAATAATAATAATTGTACAATAAACAATCTCTTACAAACATAATACAATAATAACTCGACGATGTGTATATTTATATTTATAATGGTAAATAACTACATAATAATAGTAATAATCATCCAATAATAATAACAATTATTGATCTCATTTGTGATCGTCGTCATAATTTATCATATAACAATCTTAATCACTGTAAATAATATAATTAATAATTAATAATATTAATAATAAAAAAAAAACCACTAAGTGCTTAAATTTATACTGTACAAATTGGTGATAGAAGGAGAGGAGGGGGGAGAGGCCAGATCACACCGAAAATTGCCATGACATTTGTGCGCAATTTTCTAGAGAGAATTAATTAACGACTTATTTCAACAATTAAAAAAATATAATATTCCAAATTCCTTAGTTCAACTAAGGATATTGCGACGAACAGATGACACCAAAATTCGCGAAAATAAAAATATATTTATATATTTTGTATATAATTCCAAAAAAACACACGGTCTTAATAATCTAGTGCGACAAGATTTCTTAATTATTACTTATTATCTTAATTAAAATTTCGAGAAAATCTCTCCGATTCTCTTCACTATTTACAAATTGTTATACTTTTTTTGGAATTATTAAAAAAAATACAAATTTTTGTATTTTCTAATTTTTTTTTAATTTGACGAATTGAACTTTTTTGAGGGGAAATTATAAAAGTTGAAAATTACAAATTAGAAATTTAAATTATAATTTACAAAAGTGTCCAATGAATTAAATTCTATTTTCCAATAATTAAATTATATTCTTCGATAATTAAATTAAAATTTTTAAATTTCTTAATTAAATGTTCAAATTCTCTTAATTAATTAAATTATTTTTCAATCATATAATTAAATTGTATTTGTCAATAAAGCAATATTGAAGTTTAATTGTCAAAGATTCAGTAAATAATATTAAATAAATTTAATTTTTTCTAAAATGTAATAAATTAAATCTATCGAATTCTGATTTTTTTACGTCTTACAACTATAAACAATTTATAAAATAATTTACAAGAGTAAATTCTTTACTAAAACAATTTCTAAGAGTATATTTATTTTTCCTGAGTATTTTGTCCGCTATTGTAAAATAAATAATTTTCAATTTTGTATTTTTTCTTTTTTCCTTTTAATATATAATAATATTTCTTTTTAATATAATTTTATACATTTATATAATAATGCATATAAATTAGAAATCGATTTTCTCTTTTTTTTTTTGATACCAAAAAAAATTTTTTTTGTGAAGAAATCGGAGAAACTTTCTGAAATCTTTTCTTTCAGTGTATTTATATATGTACAGATTATTAATAAGAGCACTTGACAAAACGTACGTTGATATTTTTTATATTTATATTTATATATGTATAATTATATAAAATTTGTCACACACGTGTACGTATTAAACTGGAGAAAAAAAGCTCTGGAGTTTCTGGAGAAAAAAAAATTTATTTTAAATCCAGATATATATTATAATAATAATCAACAAACCCTCCTTTTAATGCTTATCTATAAACTATAATTGATCATTTTTTCTAAAAACTTAAACTAGCTAACTATAAAATTATTTAGAGAGAAAATAATAAAGAGAAGTCTTCGTCCCATTATCGTTGTTTTACAATAAAATAAAATAATTATTTATTAATCGTGTTTTTTTCAAAAAAAAAAAAAATTCATGTCGCAAAAAAACTAAAATCTATTCACTAGAAAATGAAACTTATTTAAATGGGCCGTATAAATGTAAGGAACAATATTTCTCAAAATTTTGCGAAAATTAATTAACTAATTAATTAGTTTGATTATTAGTAATTAACTATTAATAATTTCTCCAACTAATTTAATTATTAATAATTAATTACTAATAATTCTTTTTACCCACTTTAATTATTAATAATTATTTACGAATAATTCTCCCAACTATCTCAATTATTAATAAGTAGCTATTAATAATTGTAATTATTAATTGTCATTATTATAATTATTAATAATTATTAATAATTATTAATAATTATTAATAATTATTAATAATTAATTACTAAAAATTCTCTCAAATATTTAATTTATTAATAGTTTATTACTAATAATTCTCTCAACTATTTTAGTTAGTAATAATTAATTACTAACAATTATTTCCAATCACTTTAATTATTAATAATTAATTATTAATAATTCTCTCAACTTTTTTAATTATTAATAATTAATTACTAACAATCGTTTTCAATCACTTTAATTATTAATAATTAGTTACTAATAATTCTGTCAACTTTTCTAATTATTAATAATTAATAATTAATTGTAAATTAATTATTAATTAATAATAATAATAATAATTGTTAATTAATTAATTGTTTTCAACTATATTTTAATTATTGATAATCAACTATTAATAATTGTAATAAAAGTTCGAAAAATTAGTGAATAATTATTATTAATAATTATTGATTAGAGCGATGTTGAAAACAAAAATTAATTACTAATTATAATTTAATTAGTAATTAAGAGGAATGTTTAGTTTCCTTTTTTTGCAATGCGTTGCAATTTTTTCACTATATTTGTGATCGTATTTCAAACATTTAGTTATAATGGAGAAAATACTGAAAATTGTTTTGTCGAATTTTTATTTTTCTCACTACCGAAAATCTTGGCTCTTTGACAATTTCGTAAATTTATTGGGCAAAATTTTTTTTTTTTTTTGAAAATTATTTTGAAATATTTTCAAATCAAAAATAATTTTGAATTTCAAATTTGTAAATTATATTCTCAAAAATTTGGTTCAGTATAAATTTCGTTATCATTTGAATTCTGATTTTCTTTCTCTGTTTTTTTTTCCTTTTTTCTTTTCGTTTTTTCTTTTCTATCTTTCTCTTTTCTTTTTTTTTAATGACAATCTTGAGCTATTATAATCTTTTGTTCGTTAAAATTCCAAGTGGAAGTTGCGATTATCTCCATAAAATTCTGCATGAGTAAGTAAGTACATTTAAAAGAGAGGATGAAATATATTTTCGAGTTTTCTTGAAGCTTTATCGTTTCGAGTTTTAACATTGCCAAAGGGCTAATTTATTATTATCATGCAAAAGAAACTTTCTGCAGAGTTTTAGTCGCATTGTTCGCGTTTCAGCCATAGAAAGGATATTGCATTAAATACAATATTCTCATCTCACCCTCGTGAGAAACTAATTCTCGCAAATTATTATCTGATTCCTTTTCATTCTTTTTTCCTACTATTTTTATTTTTTCACGAATCTCTTTTTTATTTAATTCCCTTTGATTCTCGCGAGGGAGAGAAAGAAATTTTATCTACTCTGCTGAGAGTAAGGGGTTTTACTTGCGAAAAATAGAAAAGTGATGCCATTGTTGTCGATAAAAAGCGAAAAAATTGAAAAATGTTCATTTTTTCTTCACTTGTGGGAAAATGTATTTTTACTTGAGAAATAAATTTTATGAAAATTATTTTTACGGAAATTCTTTTTACATAAGAATTTTATTTGTGAAAATTATTTTTAGCTGAAAAATAATTGTTCGGAAAATTTATTTCACTTGGAAAATAATTGTTAGGAAAATTTATTTCATTTGGAAAATAATTGTTAGTAAAATTGATTTCACTTGGAAAATTACAACGAGAAATTAAGTTTATTAGGAAAATAATTTTTCCTTAAAAATAGTTTTCAGAAAATTATTTTTGGAAAATTATTTTTCCTTAAAAAATAGTTTTCAGAAAATTATTTTTGGAAAATTATTTTTTTATAGAAAATGCGCTTTTTAGTTTCAATTAAATTATTTTCTTATAAAAAATTAGTTTTACTTAAAATCAAAAAATTCTTTTTACTCAGAAAATTTTTTTATAAAAAACTCTTTTCATTTAAAAAATTTTCTTTCAAAAAATTATCTTTCTACTTAGATAATTTTTTTTTATAGAAAATTCGTTTTGCTTGAACAAATTTTTATTTATAGAAAATTCCCTTTGCTGGGAAAATTATTTTCTTCCAGAAAATTTTTCTTTTACTTGAAAAAATATTCTTTAACAGAAAATTAATTATTTATAAAAAATTCATTTTACTTGGAAAATTTTTTTTTTTATAGAAAATCCTTTTTGCGAAAATCAAAAATAATTTTCTAGAATAATATTGAAAGAATTTCAATACTAATGCAAATTAGTTGAATAATTAATGTTACTGTAATAATAATTTGATACCAATCGGTAATCAACTTAAATAATAAATTCTAAAATTCTCTTTAAAAAATCAACTTTTTATAAATATTTTTTCTTTTTTACAGAAATTCCGGAGAATTCGCAAAATTTCAACACAGAATGGTAAGTAAAATATTTCCATTCTAATAGAAATGATTTATTTAAATTATTATTTATCGTTTTCAATTTATTGGAAAAATATTTTTTTATTTTATTTAAAAATTCCTTTTTTTTCAGTATTTTTCGAAAAATTATTTACAATCTTTCGTTGTTTTCAAATTCGAAAAATTTTGTTAGTTTTGCTATAAAAATTTGTGAAAAAATCTGTAGGGAAAATTTTTTTTTCATAAAAAAATTCTCTTTATTTTGTCACGCAATTTTTAATTTTCGTTTTTTATGTTTAAAAAGTAATTTTTCGTTCAAAGAATAAAATATACAATTTTTCCTTCTTTAGTGGAGGAAATTTATTAATGTAATTTGATTTTTTTCTTCCAAATTTTTGGCCTAATAAACAAATTCGACCAATTCAGGTTTATTACAATTTTTTATTTATTTATTTATTTAACAGTAAATTAATTTGAAATGAAAATTATTTTCATTCGAATAAATAAATAAAAAACTGTAACAAACATAAATAATAATTACTGCAATTTTTTATTGATTTATTTTGATTTTCAGTCGAGTAAATAAATAAACCAAAAAGAATTATAACAAACGTAAATAATAAATTAAGACAATTTTTTTTGTATTTATTTATTCGACTGAAAATAATTTTCCAATGAAATTAATTTACAGAAAATAATTTCCCATCAAAAATTAATTTACGAAAAATAATTTCCCATTTAAAATTAATTTCTATTTGGCATTTTTTTTTCTTAACGAAATTTATCGAAATATAATTTGCAAAAATTTCCTCGATTTCATTTTGTTCTTTTATTTCATCGTAAAAGCAAGTTCGCTCAAGTTGGGGGATTTATCGTCAAAGTCTTGGCCAGATTTTGGGTAGGAAGTTTTTTTAATTTAAAATAATTCTTTTAAACGGAGCAATTTCGCTGCTCGATAAAATTAACTAAGTACACCTAGAGTCTAATACTTTTTTTCAAACCCTGACGCGCTTTGCATTTTGTGTTCCTCTCGATTTATTGGAATTTTTATTCCCAAAAGAGTAAAATTTTCGAAATTGGCTCCCAGCCAATAGTATAATAGTAGTCCTTTGGATAGTCCGATTTATTCTTTTTTTTTTTTATTGAAACGAGGTATTTAACGTCGAATACGAATTTTTTCAAAAAAAAAATTTCTTCTTCGAACAAATTTTCCCTTGCTTGGCAATTTTTTTTTTTTTTTTTGAGAAAAAAAAAGTAAATCCAAGAGGATACGAAGACTTTACGAGTCTTTTTTTTTCATTCCGCGCCCAGAATTCTGTTTCTTCTATTTATGTACAAAAGAGGTTTTCAAACTCTCTTTTTTCAAATTATTTTCTTATAAAGATCTTTCCTTCCATAAAGCAAATCAAAAATTTTTAATTAAATTTTCGATGGAAAAATTTTTTTTTTCTATTTGGGATTCGTTATTCTGTAAAAAAAATAGTTTGGCTAAGTTGTGGTTATTTTTCTTCTTCTGCCTCTTCTTTTTTTTGTGCCAGTGACTCGAGATCGATTCAGGAGGAATTTGTGCTAGACGAAAGAGATTATGTTGCTTGGTTTTTCTTGATTTTTTTTTCTTTGCTGTTATTCAGAGATGAGTGATGATGATGTCGTCGTCAATATCGTCCTTTTCATCATCGGTTTCTTCGGGTTGATTGGCGTCCGCTTGTGCTGCTTTTGGATCCTCAGCAATGGCCTTGAGCCTTTTTTGTTTGCGCCAGTGTAAAATTTCAACGACCAAATAGCCCGCTGTACCAATAATGAGAACGAACATTAAGGCATAGAGTTTCATTCTTGCACAAAGATGTGTACTGTAGGCGTAGGCAACGACAAAACCTGCACTCTCCCATAGTCGATAATTCGAAAATGCCGCCTCTTTATTGCGCCTGAAGAGCGTTCCATAGAGTCCTGGAAAAATAAATTTTTAATTATTAAAAATATTAATCTACTTTTTGTTTCTTTTTTCCGATTTTTTTTCTCATAGAAAAACAAAATTTCTACCATTTTACAACTAAGAGAATTTTTTTCCCGAAATTAATTGAGATTTCTCGTTAGATTTTTTATTGTATTTAATTTTTCTCGAAGGATTCAGTGGCTTTGTTAAAATTTCAGTGGGAATTCATTTCTCTGAGGACTAATCTAAGTGCCCTTGGTGTTTTCCCTCGAATTTTTCCGAAATTTTCAGATAGATTCCTGCAATACCTGCAGACTTGTAATTTTTCCCGCTTTTTTTCTCGAAAACTGTTAATTTAATTATTTTCATTTTTGTCCCTTTCACTTCTTTGGGTTCCAAACTAAGTGCCTCTACTATTTTTCCCCCCGAATTTTAGATTTTTCCAATTATTTCCGCATTTCGGATTTTCTTAGTAGAACAACTGTCGGTAAAATAGGGATTAAGTTAGCACCTTGGTTTTTTTGGAAAGAATAAAGCATTGGAAAAATTTAGCTTCAATAATATAAATACGATATTAAATAGACAAAAATAAACTAGTTTCAAAAATTTAATTAAAAAAAAACAACAAAGGAAAGTAAGCAAATAGTTATTATTTTAACTTAAGAATATTTAACATTTTGCGTCAATTTTTCTCAAAATTCCTTGAAAACAATTTTACGATAATTATTTGTAAGTTAGAAAAATTTTTTTTGAGGTCAATTGAAAATACCTTGATTTAGATTTGAAAAAAATGACGTTATTTTTTTTTTAACGAAATCAATTAACAATTTGCTTCCTTGTAATTAATATGGAAAAAACATTGAATTTTTAACAAAAGAAAAAAGTTTAGATTATAAAAAATGGTTTATAACAAACAAATAAAAGTAAAAATTAATAATTTTAATCAAAGGACGTTAAAGGTTATTAATATTTTAATAATAAAAATATAATTTAATGAAAACATAATATTATTATTAAAAATAAAAAATTATTTACAGCATTTATTTGTTTACTTATTATTATTCATCTGAGTAATAATTAAAAATCTACGAAAAAAAATCAAAAACACAGATTATGTTCCGATAGAAAGGAAAAGAAGTGAAATTTTTTCCCCCCAATTAAAAATTAGCGAGGCATCCAATTAGAGCGTAAAAGAACAAAATTTCAAAGATTAAAGTAATTGCCGCGTGTTTTTTTTTATCTTTTTTTTTCATACAACTATACGACAAGGATGAAAATTAGAGGGAGGGGTGGAAGAGGGGGGAAATAAAATAAAACTTGTAACGAACAAACAAGTATCCTTGACCAGTCTCTTAACAGAAAAGTAGGTATATAATTGCTATGGTGATTACGACAACCAGTCATAGGAGTATATAAAAGTTGTGTTGTGGAAGAGAATTCAAAAAACGTGTGCATTATAATGCCGCAAAGGAATGAGATAAAAAATGTGCGCAGGTCTATGGACAATAATACGAAATTTTTTTTTTTTTTTTTTTTTTTTTTTTTTTCTGTGATGGAAGAGGAAATGAGGTATAAATGGTGGGGAGGAAGTGAGAGGATGTAAAGATAAAAATCTACAATATGTATAATAAAACAGTAGCAAAACAACAATAACGTTCATCTTTATAGACAAATGGATATTTCATTTGTCTCGAGTCTTTTAAAATTTGTATAATACGTATTTATCGTCCTTGCAAAATATTTCTGCCTCGGAAAATTATTTTTCCGCATTAAAAAATAAAGTATCAGATGAGAAAAAAATAGTAATAATTTTTTTTCTTCTAAATTCGTAGGGAAATTTACTTTACCGACAGTTGTGTATTTTTTTCCAGTCATTTTTTTCGAAAACTATTAATAGTAATCTCAAAATTTTGGTAGCATTTGATTCTCTTCGGTGTAAATTAAGAGCCTCTACTATTCATTTTTCGAAAATTGACAAAAAAAATTATAGATTTCTATGAGAAATTATCGACTATATTTTTATTTTGTTTCTATTCTAATGTATTTTTAATTTTTAATCACAGGTATCATTAAAAATATCTGTAATTGAGAATAACTTTAATTAATCTTTCGGAAAAATTGTTCCAAAAATAGAAAAATTGTTAAAAAAAATTATTGTCAAAAAAAATTATTGTCAACAATTATTTATCGAAAAATGTTTATAAGAAACGATTTTTAGTTTACAATTATTAGTCAGTAAAAAGTAAAGATTATGTTTCATTTATACTGAAAGAATATATTTTTTCCTTCATTATTTTTTGTAATATCTCAGCAGGGATTATCGAATCCAGATAATAAATATATCCAGTTAACTATATGTGTGCATATGTATATAAATGTAAGAACACTGCGAGCCATGCCAGGACTAATTACAAGGAGAAACCGGCTACAAATGGAGATGTCTGCTTTTGCCATGTACGAATACAGTTATCTCTAGACTTGGCGTGAACAGGATGACATTTTTAAAGAAAAAAAAAAAAAAAAAAAAAAATTTCCTGAATGACGTTCAATATAATATTAATGAAACCTACTTACACTTCTCAAAATAATAATAAAATTTTTCTAATAATAATTTTACCCGCTTTTACGAACAAAAAAAAAATTCGAAGGTCCTTTTCAATACACTCGTAAAGAAAATATTATTAGAAATAAAATTTTTACTTCTCAATTCAAGATAAGGGCGAAGGGGGAAAATGTGTAATAAATTAATAATTGTAGTAAGACAATGAGAAATAATTTTTTTTTCTTTTAAATGAAAAACTAATAAATATTAACAAGTTGAGGAAAAAAAATTCAATGGTCAAATATAAATGACAATATTATTTCTACAAAACTGTAATAAAAATTTTAATACAAATTGAGTTTTGAAAAAATAAAGCGTGTAATAATAAATATAATGTAGGTACGAAAATGTGGAAGAAATAAAGTTGACAATAAAAGGTGCAAAAAAAAAAATAAAATGTCAAGAAATAACGGAAACTGAATAATAATAATGGTGATGATAGTAATAATAATAAAAATAATTTTTTTCCCTACTGTTTATGCTGGAAAAAATGTATTCGATTCAAATAAACCAAGTACTTGTCTCATCGCGACTGTTGATACTTTTTGACACTTATTTTATTTTCTATTATATACTAATTGTATTATTAATAATTTTTAACAATTTTTGTTATTTTCCATTTTTTTCTGTTAATAAATAATTATATTTTATTAATAAAAAAAAAAAAATTAAAAGTAATAACTAATGAATAACTCACTATTTAGCTATTTTTATAAATAAGATATTAATTCATATTTACAATACAATAAATATTTACTTGAATCAAAAACTTTTTATTAAAATCCATTTTTTTTTTTTTTTTTTTTTTTTTTTTTTTTTTTTTTTAAGAAATAAATTTAATATATTATTTGATTAAACCAATAATTGCAGTATGCACTCACTAAAGTATTGATTAAATAAATAACAAATAATTACAATGATAATAGAAATGATAAAATAATTATAGTAAATAAAACATTAATAAAATAATTACAATAATAATAATAAAAATAGCAAAGTAATAACGAAAGACAATAATATTTTTTTTAGCAATAATAAAAAAAAATAATTTTAATAATATAATAATAATAAAAAAAATAATAATACCGAAATAAAACACTAATAAGGGTATAATAATACGACAGAAAAAAAAATAAAATAATGTAGATAAAGGTCAGAGCGGGTTTATTATTTTTGAGAAAAACTATGTCCTTACTAAATCATTTTTTAATGTCGCCCGGAAGTATCGTGCAGAATAACGATATTATAAAGAGGAAAAAGAGTTGAATGAAAATTACAGATATTGCGTGAACGTCACTAAAAAAGAGTTATGTGCAATTTTTATTTTTTATTGCGACGCGAAATTTTCACAAATGTATAAATTTTTTCATTTTAATTTAATCTATTCTAATTTTCTCCCTAAAATTCCGAAATTTTATTTATTTCTTCTTCAAATTTAATTGCAAAAATATTATCGATAAGTATAAAAAAATTTTTAAAAAAATTATGATTAAAAAATAAAATTGAAAAAAAAATTTAAAAAAAAAATTGAATGGAAGAAAAATGAATAGATTTAAGGAGATGGCAATAAGACATGGGAGCCTGTCACTTGAAGCTAGACCTCCACTAACATGCGACTTTCTAAATGTTGTTGGTATTCATGAATGTTCAGAATGTACGTGCCAGAGTGAGCGTTTATTGCACGTGTTAGGTGTTACACCCAGAAAAATAGAAAAAAGTTGGAAAAAAAAATTTTGTGATTCAACTATTGGTGCAACTTGCATATAATATTCACACACATAAATAGAAAATATTTGTTTTTTCTTTATTTCCTTAATCTCACAGACGAAAAAAAATTGTTTCAAGTAAATATTTATTTGACAGCAGACAAGTAATCGCTTATTTCGAATCAAATTTTTTTTCCAGTGTTAATTTTAAATTTTAATTGTTAATTCGTTAATTGTAATTATTTGAATTAAATAAAAATTTTTTTCCATTGTTAATTGTTTTCTATAGAGAAAAAAAAATTTAATTAAAAAAATTACACGAACAAAATAGCTGCGGATTTTTTCCCCTTCTGAGATAATAAGGTTTCTTCTCTTTTTTTCAAAAAAGAAATAGAAAAATAAAAAAAAGTAAAAGGATACGCAAACGACCTCATTCATTTTCAGATTTCACTGCTTAAGAAAAAAAAAAAAAGCGATGATAGTGACTACTTTGCTTAATCTCCGCTATTGCAAATTGCTATATATACACTTTAGCTCATTCGTCATTTGAAAGGTTTCGATTTTTTTTCATTCCATCCGTTTTTCATTTCTCTCGCATCTACAAAGACAATTTTCTCCTTCGGTGGAAAAAAAAATCGACTTTTTTTCTGTTTACATCCTACGGAAAATTACTCCAATTTGCCTTCGTTTCTTTTTTTGTCGCGCAGATTCATTTAAAAGAAATTGTTAGAAAAATTCAAAACTAAATTGTATTATTCTTCGTGCAATTCTTGATATCTTCAATTTATTCCATTTCTTTTTGCCCCCAAAAAAAGAATTCTTTATTTTACTTCTTTTTGACAAAAAAAAAAGAATTCTTTTTGCAAACAAAAAAAAAAATTACCAATTTTTGAAAGCAGAAAAATTAAAAATGTAAAACTTTGTTTTTGTATAATTACCATTGACTTGCGTTTGCCAAACGGCATCACCAACGCCCCAGAGTCCAGATATTGTGTAAAAAATATAAGGATTATCGGGATGCGGCTTCCAGGTGAGAAGAACTGCAATTAGTGATGCATGAACAATGGCACCAAGAGCCATGACTGGCTGACGGCCAATAAATTTCATAATCGATCCGAAAAGTAATGAACATCCAGCATTCACTACACCGAAACAGATCATCACATAGCCGACTTTATGAACTCCCAATGCGCACGAAATGTAAGCCTGCAAGCAAAGAAAATAAGACCAATTTTTTATTATCTCCCAATCGAAAATTCTTATTTTTAAATTTTAATTAATAATCCAAAAGTAAAAAAATTTTTTTTTTCAATTTTTCAACTGAATTAGTTTATATGTTAATGAATTATCATTTATCAGGGTTTCTACAAGTCATGGAAAATTTGAATCAATTAATTTAAATATAATTTTCCAAAAGTTCTAGAATTCAATTATTTAAATTCATAAAGTCAATTTTTTAAAATAATTGTGACTCTCAATAATTTTTTCTTAAGTTATTAAGGTATAACATTTTCAAACATTTTCAAATAATTATAATAAAGAAATTCTTACAATTAATTTTTTTTAAAAATATTTTAAAATAATTTCTGAACGATAACAGTTTTTTAATTTTGAAAAATTTCTAAACAAATTAAAATTTGGTAAAATCTTTTAAAAATAATTGAATTTTAGAAAAGTATAAATAAAAATTATCAAAATTTTTGAAGAATTTTAATTTTAAACAGGACCATGATTTCTCGAAAATTTTTAATAATTCCAAAAAGTAAATTTTCAATCTTAAAAAATTATTACTAAATAATTCTAATAATTAGTTTTTAAAAATATTTTATTAATGTAATGTTTCGAAATTCGAAAATAATTGTATTTCTTAAAAGAATTTTTGTATAATTTAAAAAACTAAAGAATTTTTTTGATGAATTTTAATTAAAAATTTTGAACATTATTATTTTCTCCAAAATGTTAAAAGTAATTTTAAAATGTTGATATTTTTGGCAATATGTAATTGAAAATATTAAAAATATTGAATTTATAAAAATTAGAAGCTAATTTTCACTTTTAAATTTACATTTAAAGATTTTTTATTAAAATTTTTGATAATTCAATTATTTTCAAAATTTGCAGTTAAAATTCTTCAAAAGTTGATTTTCAAAAATTGAAACAAAATACTTTAAATAAATTAATTATTTCAATTAAATTTTACAAAATTTTAACTATTTATTATTAATAGTTAATATTATTAATTACTTGCCTATTAGCTAAGTGGTTATAATTTTTATCACAAAATTTAACCTCATGTATAATTTTATTAATTTATTTATTATTTATTTATTATAGTTACTTTTATTTACCTGTTTAGTTATTATTAATTATTTATTACCATCTATTTATTATCACGCTAATTACAATTTTTTTTGTCTTTCTTTCTCATTGCGTAATTTTATTCGCTTTCTACTTCTTTTATTTATTTCAATTATTTATTATTAAATAATTGAATTATTTAACTTATTATTATTTCATTTGGAAATTAACTATTTAACACCCTCATAAATTATTATTTAATATTTAATTTATTATTTAATTTATTATTTAATTTATTATTTAATTTATAATTAAATTCTTAATAGAAAAAATCATCTGTCGCAAAGAATCGAACCCTTTCCCTTGGCAATATTCTTTTTGCTTTCTTGAAAGTTTATTTTCATTTCTTTAAAAGTATTTTTTGTCTCTTTGAAAACATTTTTGTTCCTTTGAAAGCTTTTTTGTTTCTTTGAAAATTTTTTTATTCTCTTCTTTGAAATTTAAAATAAATATCAATAATAATCAAAAATAAATTATACAGAAATTATAAATAAAAATAAATTTCACATTAAAATAGAATTTTATTTTTAGAAACATTAGTTTTGCGGTTGTATAATATATAATTATAATAATTATATAAACGTATATAGGTAAATAAAAAAAAAAAATATATTGAAAATACATACAATGAAACTTTGAAAAGCTGTGCGAGATAAATTATTATATATTTTTACATTTATTGAGAACATTTCGTGCCCTATGCCCCGTCATTAGACTCAATCAGCAAATATAATTTCCTCCACATACAATCTTGTATGTTAAATATTCATAAAACGTTCAATAATTTTTGCATTTTTTTTTCTTTATATAATAAAAATGAAAAATGAACATAATTTTCATAACTACTAAATTTAAAGCGAACGATTTATTCGCTTTATAGATATTTTGAAAAAACGAACGTTTTGTATAAATAATTTTTTTCGCAATCAAAAATTTGCATTTTTTTTCTCATTTGTTGGAAAAAAATTGACAAAAAATTCTATAGAAATATAAAAAAAATTGTTGTCAGAGCTAAAATAAATTAAAATTAGTTAATTAATTAATTGATTAAGTAATTGATTAATTGATTAATTAATCAATTTTGTTGAGAGAAAATATAAGTTTAAAAAAAAAAATTTATTTATTTCGTTTCGAGAAAATACTTTTTTCGTCCAAAAAAAATTAGTTAATTAATGAATTGATTAAGTAATTGATTAATTAATTGAGTAATTAGTTAATTATGTGGAGACAGTATTTTTTTGAAAAAAAATTAATTTATTTTCTTTCAAGAAAATATTTTTTTCCCGAAAAAATTAATTAATTTATTGATTAATAAATTAATTTCATTGAGAGAAAATATTCCCCCCCCCCCCGAAAAAAGAGCGTATTTTCTATACGAGGAAGTTAAAATAAGTAAAAGTCGAATTAACAGTAATAAATAACATTTAATGGATTGTTTATTTATATAATTAATTCAATAACTGCTATTCTTTTGTCCAAGGGCATGTGACGAGAGAAAGGTACTTATCAAACTAGACAAACGAGTAGAGAAACAATGTTATAATGCGAAAAGATTCAAAAAAAAAAAAAAAAAAAAATCAGGGTCAGTGAGATTTATGCGAATTGTAGAAACGGAAATTATGCAGGCATTTGCCTATGTGTATAAATAACATTAATCAACACTATTACACTCAGGTGTACAATATACACGAGATAGAGATATCAGAATCAATATAAATGCAATTCTTACTATATATTTTAGTTTTTTCTTTTTTTATTTATTTATAATATTAAACTCGTCATAACGACTTGCAATTTGCATTCATGATCAATCAACTTTTAATAATCTCTTTATTAATCAAATTCACTATTGGAAATATCGTTTAGAAAAAATGGAAAATTACTAAACCTTGGAGTTTGAAGTCATTGTTCTAATTTTTTAACTGAGAAAAACAATATTTTTTATTATTTAATTAATATTTAAAATTTTTAATATTTTTTTATTTATTATTATTCTTTTTATTAAATATTAATTTAAATATTTACTTAGAAATAAATGTGTATTATTTAAATAAACGTATCTAAAAATAAATATATTTAAATATTTAAATATTTGTATCGTAAATATTGTAAAATTACGATCAAGATAAAAATTTAATTTAATTTATAAAAGTCCAAATAGAATAACATTTTTCTGATTTGAAAATGAAATAAACATTTTTTTTTTTTTTTTTGGTGGGGGGGGAAATTAAAATATTTTTGTTATAAATATTAAAGAAATAAAATTGTTACCATTGAATATTAGTTAAATATTAATGAGTCAAGTCCTTCATATAATAGCGAATCGATATATAAAATAAAGACATTAGTTTTATTGATAAAGAATCGTTAATATTGATGATCGACTGTAAAAAAAAGAAGAAACAACAAAAAAATAGTTGTAACAAGGAGAAGAATATTGTAATCAAGAATCAGTTTACATATAATAGTATTTTCAACGCGATAAATATAATGAAAAAAAGTTCCTTGGAGTATAATTATCATAAATCCTTGTTTAAAATAATTTTCAAAGAGAAAAAAAATTCAATCGTTTTTAATTTCAATTGTAGATTGCTAAAAATGTAATGTTAATTAATTAATTAATTAATTAATTAATTATTTAATTAATTAATCAATTGAATAATTAATCAATTGAATAATTAATTAAGAGTAATGCTTTAATATTGTTAAATGCTTCTCTTTTTGAATTTCGCGCCACGGCCCGAAAATTTCTATAAGTACTCTCCTCGCTTCATTTCGTTTGTGAGAGAATTTTCATGCCCTCTAGGCGGCGATTTCGAGAATTGGCGCGAAATTCAAAAAAAGAAAATTGAAAAAATTGATAATAATAATTGGACTTGAAAAATATTAATAATTCTATTAATAATCCAATAGTATAATAACGATTGTAAATACGTTCTGTAATTAAAATATTCTATTTTTAGTTTATTTTTTTATTTTTGTTTTGTATAAATTTATATTTTTAATTAAAATTTGTAAATCTATATATAAAAATTTAGATGAAATATTTTCCAATGAAAATTAACAGTAGAAGAAGAGGAGAGCGGGGTTATAATGGAAAACTTGCACTTTCTGTTTCATTCTTCTATTTTCAGTTTCTCAGGAAGAAATCGATAAAACTTTGTTTCCTTTTCTTTCTTTCATTTAATTTTTTTTTCTCTTTTTGAGTCTAAATGCGGTCTTTTCTTGCGTCCGCGAAGGCCTTACTTTCTAGTTCAACGACTCGCGAGCATAAATGTATGTTCGTATCATGAAAATGTCGATGAAGAATCCTACCGGCTGATCGTCCTTCTTTGCCTTTCTCGTCCTCTTTTCGAAATGTATTTATATATATAAACTCCAGTGGAACTTGTTGCGTGTATATATGTTGCACTTAATCCTCGTTCCTCTTTTTTTTTCCTTCAACGAGAGCTTATCCTGACAAACCAGATCTATTCTTAGAACTAAGAAGTATAATTATTATCGGGTAATACATATATATGTTGGGAATGTTATACTACCACTACTGACATATTTTTTACTGACTCATTTTTCTCTTCTTCTTCTCCTTCTTCTTCTTTTTCTTCTTTTTCTCTTTTCTTTTGCTTATTTTTCCTTCTCTATTTTCTTAAGTGTCAGACATTATATGGACTCGCTTATCTTCTCATCCAAATCTCCGACACGCTTCTTCATATTTTTTTTTCTTTTTTAAACATTTCTATTTTACAATCGGATAATAATCCTTATTACCTTATTAGATATGGTCGAGGCTGTCACTCACGAGAATCAGGCTTTGACTTATTATACGTACTTATGTAAGTACAGTGTGG